AATTGGAAGCCTCATAGCGATTCTATAACATAAAAATGCAATTTATGTAACTTTAATGTACAAATACATATGCTGTTATACCACTTTAAAGAATTTGTCAATATTGGTTAAGAGAATACTAATAAAGAGATGTGAAGTTGTTAAGTGTGGCAAATTACACAAAGCCTACACTACAAGGAGGACGATGCCTTAATAACTACAAAAAAACTGAGCTGGTTGCACTTAACCATAATAAATAGTATATCAGTCCATGAGCATAGGATTAACTACCATGTACTGAAGATATATTTGCTGACAGGATCTTACTGCGTAATTAAATTTCGTGTAAGCCGATGTTTGTTGCACTTTCATCTTTATCCGATGACTAAGCTACTACTTTGTTTGCTGAGGTATAGTGAATTGGTTCACAATATGTACATCACGTTAAGATAGTTATAATCTAATCTTTCAATAAAATATGCGCACTGTACAGGCAATTCTGAAACAAATGCATGTTTGGATACTTTCAATTATTCGGACATTTTCTCTTAATCCTTGTAAATATTTAAAATTTTGATTTTAATTCCAAAATAATTATTGGAGACGGTCAAATAACTTTTGCAAGTATATTCTATTAACAACCCAATCCAATAGCTTTGCTTCTGGCACGTAAGTGAATTGAAATCTGAAGAATCTTTTACTTTCATATTACTGTTAGAGATATTTGCATAATTTTAAGTCGGTTTGATTAGCTTTTTTTTTTAATACAGAATATAAATCTATGATTTTACTAATAACAGTAACAGTGTTAATAAAATGTAACTACTTTGCTAATTCATGAATTTCTATGCATATAAACATGTCGCTTTGTTCAAAAAAATCACAGGAAATGTGCATGATATTTGCAGAGATTAAATTTGCAGCCATAATATATTCTTTATGGAAGAAATATATAAAATTATGCACTTTCTACCAATAAATATTTGGACACCTATGATAGAAACGAAAAACAAATTTTATTCATATTATATAAACAAATTCATATTATATAAAATTCATATTATTCATATTATATAAACAAATTTTATTCATATATAATTTTATTCATAATATTATAGCCTCTACAAGCAGCAATTACAGCTTCAATCCTTCGAGACATGCTTTCTATAAGTCCTTGTATAACTGCTATTGAAATTTCCTTCCACTCGGCTTGGGGAAAACATTTCAAGTTCCTTCACCGATATTAGACGGTTGTTGCACCCCTTAATTTGGTGATTCAACTCGTCCTATATGTTCCCGATGGCGTTCAGGTCTGGGCTTTGGACAGGTTAGACCATTGGTTAACCCCATTGTAACCATACCAATCCATGGTGGACCTAGCAACATGACAGCTGGCGATGTCATCCTGAAAGTAGCATGTGCCCAACCCATGAAATTGCCACAATGTAGGAAGTACATTCCAAAGTAGCACATGACATAACAAAGACGTTACCACGACCACTTTGCAGCCTCTCGGACCAGGTTCTAACGTTTCTGCTACGTCATGTGCTATTTGGATTGCCATCCAAAATAGTCCAAATTATGCATCGATATTCAGTTTATCATGAATTGTGACCAATGATTCAGTCTTTATACCAGGAGAAACACTCTCAGATCACGATTCCACATCCGCCAAATTTTATTATGGGCACTATGCATTCTGGCAGAAGGCGTTCTCAGGAAAACCGCCAGACCCAGACCTTGCCATTCGAATGGAAGATGTTGAACCTTGATTCTTTGCTGTAGAAAACACGTTTCCACCAATCAAGTGTTCATTGTCGGCGTGCTTTGCACCACTTTAACCGAGCAGCGCGGTTGAACGTTGTGATCAAAGGCTTATGGGTAGCAGCACAACCATGAAAATCAATCAGATTTGCTTTACTATGGATGGTATTCATTGAAACACCATTTCCGGTTGCCTGTTGAAACTCCTGGAGTATATATGGGCCATCGGTTGGGTACCATACTGGATAGCTCCCGTTTTCTGGATAGCTCCCGTTGGTCCGTATCTCCAAGTTTCGCTGGTCTGCCGACTCGAAACACATTACGATAATAACATACGATCATTCCACGACTGAATCACATAGGCCTCGGTCGAATTTGCGTAATTTAGCTCATTTAGCCCTTAAGTATCGGCCATTTTTGTGGTACCCGACGATTAAACTTTTCTCGAAATCTGAAAGCTTTGCACTTCATGCAGTGGCATTAGTGCATATTCTATGCCATTAATGTCACTGACTTCGCATTACAGCCAAGCTTGCTTTTCATTCTTTGCATTTTGTTTCTGATATTTAAATATTAACGTATTTTAACAGCTCATTGAAGCTAAGCAAGTAATGTAAAACATAAAGCGAATTTATTTGAGTTGATTTTCCTACTCAGAGCAGCTCCTGCTTAGAGATAAATCTGCTAAAACTCAGTTTTTTGCTTGTTGATTCTACGGGGTTAACATTTTAGGACACTTCAAATTATGTAATTTAGCTCAACATCAAATATATGTCAATTCAAAAGAGTCATTCTTCTAATTATTCCAGGAATGTGAGAAGTACTCGAGCATATGTAAGTGTTCCGATGGACATTACTTCGAAGAGGGTGTGTAATAACATTTCCAATAGAGCTTTAGCCACTTTCTGCGAAAACTTTGAATGTTGGATTATCAACTAAGTCAAACCATAACATTCATGAAAAATTCCAAATAGATATGAGAGAAGTATAGCTTAACTGAGATAATGCAATCTGAAATTTTATGGAATATAATCAGTTCGCTTAAGCAATACTCGTAGATTTTAGAATTCTTATTTTCCGGAAAGTTTAATATGAAAAATATTTACGTGTGATCTAGAATATTTCTTCTGTTTCATTCAAGTTATCACTTTATAAAATTTATAAGTAAGGTAACAGTTTCACAGCGAAATAAACGAAAATTGAGATAAAAAGATCCCTTTGTTGTTCATTGAGGTTTTACGTGCAACACGTATCTCACTATATGCTGTAATGACGGGTTGATTTTCCTCAAGCTAACTTTTTATGCTATAACTGTTACATCTTTCTCGATTACTGCATTTATGTAGGAAACAATATTGACTGGATAAGCTTAATTTTTCTCCAATTAGTATGCTACAATCTTTACATAACCACAGCATACCTCTAATAATGATTTTAGTATAAGTTATTAAAGTAACGTTTAGATGTTATCATAAGACTTTTTCATGTTCGAAACATAAGTTACAGATGTAGAAAAATATTATTCACATGCCTTTAAATTAATATGAAAAAGTCCGTGAAAAGTTTCCAGTTTCCTGAATTATATGACCGTTTAAAGTCACTTGTCAGAGCTTGATGATAACGTTTAAAGTCACTTGTCAGAGCTTGATGATAATGGCAATATCATGTTTACTCAAAGTTAACAAAATTTCGTTCTGTTATTTCGTATGGATACCGTGTTCTTTACATGTAAGTAATTATCATGACATGCGTATAATTCTATTTCACTTAAAACTGTTATTCTATTAATTGGGCATTTTCGGCTCGAAAATATCATTTACTCAAAAAACAAGTATGTTTCTCAAAAATAATGAATGAGATAAAAATTTGTAAAGCAAATTTCGGCATAAAGGAGATCTAAATTATATATGAAATAACGGTCAGTTTTGTGTGCAGAATTTTGCTGAAAAATAGAATTGTCAGGGCTTGAGAATATATTTTATGCTGGAAATCATTTTTGAATACAAGTTTGTCAGTGTTATTCATAATACTTTAAATTACTTCTTTTGTTTCATACGCATTGTAGAGTCTTCTAGTATGTTTTGGAATCATACACTGTAGACCCTACTGAAAAGGCTAAAGAGCAAATTCTCGATAGGTCTTGTAAGAACAGATAACTGCAGAAGAAGTTTTAAATAACCTTTTTATTTGAACTTAACAGAACGCACTCACTTGGTGCTCACAATCTACCACTACTTAACAGAATAAGGTGCACAATCACAATAACGTAATATTGGCTACACGACTGGCTCTTTCGTTATCTCTTCAGTTTTAATAAACTGCCTAAATCTATTCATTAATGAGTTGAAATGTTTGTTAAATTAATTTGCTTTTTCTAAAACTTTGTTGTTGTCTTGTCCATATTACATGGAACAATGGTTGCCAGAGCCTACTCCGAGGTGAGGTTGGACTTCTATTTTCCACCCCCAATTTTGAGGGAGAGCAACAGGGGGTTCCGAGGGTCTTCTATTCCTCTCTAATCCCCCGCCAATTCACATGAGAGAACTTTCGGCTCGCCGTATATTTAGAGTGCCGTCATGCCGCACCGACACTATACATTTACAAACATCCATGTCTTACTGGGGATTCAAACCCAGGCCTTTCGGTACGTAGTAGGCTCCCCTAACCACTTCCAGGTACAGATATATCCATGCAGAATTGGTTACTAACATGCAGTTGGTTACTAATTCTTCATGGATATATGTATACCTGGGTCGGAAGCCAACTCACCGGTTTACCTCCCCTAACCACTATACCGTCTGGGCGACATTGTAAAACCTTTGAACTGATCAAAAGTAATCCACAGCAAAAAGGGCTGAGAAACTTTAATCTGCATATCTGCTTGCTAACCTTTTAATAACATGTAAGTTGCAAATAATAAAAGTTGCAAATAATAGAAGCCAAGTAATTAAAGTCTGCAAGTAATAAAAGTTGATGTAACTGTAAGTAAGTAGGACTGATACATTCACTAATAGACTGTCCTACGCCGGATTAGGTAACATCTGATTATTTACTACTGACAGAAACTCATTTGTGAAACTCTGGAAAGTTTTAGTCAATTTATAAAAGTAATTACTAATCTCTATAATAACAACACAGGTACGTTTGTGAGCGACCAGTGCTAGAATCATCTTCGTAAAGGAAATTTTACAACTTTAACTTTTTGTAAATACATAATGACAAATCATTTTCTCATCATTTTTTTTTATTTATTTCAGTTTCAACCATGCATCGGGGAATTTTTATATTTTACTGCCTTGTTCTCCTCACAACAAGTCTGGTAGCTTCCAAGAGTTTGAATCGTGCAGAGAGGGATATCCAAGATATGGCTAATGTAGCTGCCACCGGAAGACAACTTGGCAGTGGACTTAGCGCACTGGGAACACTTGTATCTCCCTTACTCTTTCTCATGGGAATGGGGTCCTTCATATCCATGTTGCCTCAAATGTTTCAGACCGTTCTTAGTGGTGTCGGTTCCAATCTTATTCAGTCTTTCACTGGAGCTGCTTCAGGCGGTGGCAGCTCTACTCGCCTGAAGAGGGATCTTATGAATGAGGACGATATCTTGAAAGAAGTCGAGAATAGACTCAATCTTGCCGTTATGAAATATGAGAGACCTATGAATGCTTAGCAAGAATTCCAAGAATTGGCATTTCCGAATAAGAGAGAAAAACATTCTGGCGGGCCAGTTTGGATTGAGTTATGTGTAAAACTCCAGCAAATCATTGCCTATTTTATATAGCTGCCATAAATTGAAGAGTGCAATAAGTTGATGTTTTGTCTATTTCATGATTGAGTTATAATTCATATATGTGTTCATATATTTGTGCCGAAAGAGAGTTCATTGATTTCTATATAATAGCTCTGTACTTCACAGAAACTTTGCACTGAATTCAAACTGAATATATTAAAACTGAAAGTATTATCTAAGTTATGGGAAGTTTGAATGAACTGATTAGTTTACTTTGGAACGAGGGAGGATTAAAAAATATTCCACACTGTTTTTGGCAAAACTAATTCTGTTTCTCGTTCAACATTTAATATGGCTGTAAGATATCATGGATTTCATGCAAAAATTGTGACAGTATTGGTTTGTAATTTAAGCTTAAGAAAAACATATGCATAATGAAAATACATGTCTTAGATGATTTTTAGCATAAAAAACGAAATTTTCGAAACCTTTTTTCCATAACAACATCAGTTTAAATATATCTTGTTTTGGGTCTGTGAACGATCGACTGAAAGTTTTCAAATAAACTGAGGTTTGTCAAAAGATAAAGCTTATATTTTGATCGCTTTCTGGAAAACATTCCAGGTACTACTCAGGAAAGAAATTGAAGATGGTCCCTGTTTAATTTATACTACGTAAACAGGCTTACACATTTATGTTAGTTCGCGTGGGAGAATCCAATGTTTCAATTCAGCTAAAATTGTCTAATCAGTCGTCTGCAGGCGTCATTGCTTTGATATAGTCTTTGATAAATAAGATAGTCTAAATCTGACTCCACTGTGGAAGAAACGTATAGCTAATATTCGTTCTTAAGATAAACATTGTAGTTTCTTTGCTTATATGCCGTATTTGGTTACAGCTCAAGAGATAAATGAAAGTAAAATAAGTGCGTATGGGCATCGTTTCTTGCTTCTCCCCGGAAGTATGTGGAATGATACTCAATCTTAACTTTTGGAATTTTATACCCTGTCTTTCGTGAAATACTATCGGATTGTCCGGAAAATAATGCAGGTTTTTGGAATTGTTTATCTTTCCTGTATAATTTTAGCAACAAAAATATTTTGAATTACATTATTTTATATATTATTTTGAAGCTCTATTTTCGCTCTATATTTTTATAATATTCATTTTGTTCCAAAATGATTTTAAAAATTATTTACTGGGTGTTTTTGTTTAGATGATAAAACGGGATTTTCGGAAAATTTACATTTATGAGTACAAGCTAGGCCGCAGCGCAGCACAAACGGCTCGAAATGTCAACGAAGTATGGCGCGAGAAAAGTGTGTGTGAATCTACAGTTCAACGGTGGTACCAAAAATTTCGCCGTGGAGAATTTGAAGTGGAAGCTGAAGAGCGTCGTGGACGCTCTTCAGCTGTTTATGACGACCATTTGAACACATTAATTGAAACAAACTCGTGCACAACTGTTCAAGAGCTTTTGGTGAGCAAAACAACGATTTCTGATCACTTGAATCGTATAGGAAAGTCAAATAAGCTCGATAAGTTGGTGCCTCACAAATTGAGCGAAAATTAAAAAAAATCGTCGTTTTGAAGCGTCGTCTGCTCTTCTTCTCCGCAACAAAACGACCCTTTTCTTCATCGAATTGTTACGTGCGATGAAAAGTGGATTCTCTATAAAACCAGCTGCATTCGGCTCAGTGGTTGGACCGAAGTCAGACACCACAACACTTTCCAAAAACAAATTTCTACCGAAAGAAAATTATGGTGACTGTATGGTGCGGCCGGTCTCATCCACCACTGCTTCCTAAATCTGGGCGAAACGATTACGGCAGATAAGTACTGTCAGCAAACCAACGAAATGCACCAAAAGTATGCAACGCATGTGCCCGACATTGGTCAACAGAAAGGGGCCAGTTCTTCTCCACGACAATGCTCGCCCGCACTTCGTGAAACTGACTTTACAGAAATTGAACGAATTCTTCCTCTTCCGCCATATTTGCCTGACCTCTCGCCGACCGATTAGCTCTTTCTCAAGCATCTGGATAACATTCTGCAGATAAAATGCTTCAGAAACCAAGGCCAAAAACTCCTTTAACAACTTTATCCCATCCAGAACTCCATAATTTTAGTCTACCGGCATAAATAAACTTATCTCATTGGCAAAAATGCATTGATTTGGTTGGTGCTTAGTTTGATTAATAAAATTGCTTTTGAGTTGAGTTATGATACTTTAAAAATATAGGTTAAAATCCTGCATTATTTTCCGGACAACCTAATAGATAATTTTCTTTCTTTAGAAGAAATCAACAGTCAATATTGTTTTGTACATCTTGAAATGAAAGTTATTATATAATCTTGAAGTTATTATAGAATGTTTATGAAAAATGCATGAAAATGTTTTTGTTATTTACATGAAATGTAAAAGAACTATTTTTATACCCATTTTTATTAAAACATTCTTCAAATGCTCATTGAGTTTAGATAATTAAAATAATAATTGCAAAAACTTCGAAAAATGAATTTTGTATAAAATTCGAAGGTTAGCATAAGAACCTGGGAAAAGTCAGAGCAATTTAAAAAGTTTCATGTGTTTTATTTTATCATGTATGACCTCAAAAATGTATTCAGATGCATTCAAATGCTATAAAATGCAACAATCTCAGTATCGTGCAATATATTATGAAAGCAGTATTATGAAATATCCTAAGAATAAGGAATCCTCTGCAAACATTTAATGATTCTATATCGTTTAGCCTTTGCAGTGCAGTGTAAAAATTTTTACATATATTTGTCATGCTATGCAATGAAAATTTATGAAAATAAATGACGGTAGAATTATATTTTTAAGGAATTATAATATAAAATGACTTTCATTATTTCGAATAAGAAGGAATTCGCTTATCCTAATTTAGAGAGAAAATAAATTTTCATCAAACCTTTTTATTTATTGATAATCGTTTTTCTTTTGTATTATTAATCGAACATATATAAATAAAAAGCTAAGAAATCCTTAAAATGGTATATTATTGTCAAGTTTAATTTCGTCTTTGAAATGATTTCCATAAAAATATTACGTTCAGGATTTTCTTGATGTGTATGTATATTTTTATAAAGAAACATGAAAAAAATTAACTGGACATGAAATAAAGTGTTAGACATTTTCAATACCAAAGTTTTTAATAATTTAAATAAAAGACGTGCAATACTTTGAACTGGTAAATGAGCATTCAGTTAAAAATCTGTAAATGAATCATTAAATGTTTAATTTACAGTTATTTAACTACGTTGTCATTTTTAACTTGCTTAAATTGTTATATGTTACAAAGGCTGTTCGCACACTTTTTAGACGATTTTCATTGTATTTATAAAAATATTTCATCTAAAAGTTTTGTGTTTTAAATGTTCTAATTGATAAAAACCTTATTCCGCATTATTTTTCTATACCGTAATGTTCAGTACAATGAAGCCTTCAAGCCTGTTTTAGTATCAAAAGAGGTACGAGTATTTCATCCTATTCCACTTCAACAGCTTTCCAAAGTCCAAAGAGGGTTCTAGGTCGACGTTCGAACAATTCGATTTTTAAAAGTCCGCAAGCGCAAAAATCCGCGATTCACGAGATTTAGTTGGGATATGAGTGAAGGGCCTTGATACCCGTTTCTAGTTCCATTTTTTCCAGCAAATGAACAGTAGATTTTGACGTGTGGCTGCTTGTTTTGTCTACTCATTGATGGCACTATGAATAAGAGAAAGTGCTTCATATTTAAAAATTGGGTATAAAATATATTCCTGATAATATGTGGAATTGATCTTAGGAACTGTATTCGAATTATAAATCCCAATATGTTTTCATATCATCTCCACGCCATTTTTAATAAACTTTTTAATATTGTTTTCTTTTCTTTTTCTAAAATGGAATAATGTAAGGAGGCATAGATAAACCCGCCACAAAAGTGATCGTACACCAAAATATTTTCGTAAAATTTCTGCCACTTTTTTATTTTGGTGATGTTTAAAAATTCGCTTGGTTTATTCTTTGCTTGCTTACTTCGTTATATTTTATTTAATATTTAAAAATGGGTTGTAGTCGTAAGAAATATCTATATATAAAAAATAAAAAGCTTATTCTTTCTTTCACAAAATCAATGGTAAATAAGCCCGAAGCCTATTGGAACCATATCTTATGTTCAGATGAATGCAAATTTAATGTTATTGGTTCGAATGAACATATAATTGTATGGGAGAAGAAAAAATGAGGAACTTAATCCCGAGAACTTGTTTGGAACAGTAAACCATGGCGGTAGAGTTGTCCTTGTGTGAGGGTGCGTGTCAATATTATCATTAAGTAATTTGGTATTTATTGATGGCATAATGAACCATGATCTTTATTCAAATATTTTAAACGATAATTTAAAATTATCCGCCCCAAATTTGACTCTTGGAAACTTTATTTTTTATCAGGATAATGATTTTAAGCACACGGACCGCAAGTTTCGGCTTTGGTGTTGCTATAATTATCCACAAGTTCTGAAAATACCACCTCGGCTGAGGCGAAATGCAGATGGTACCCGCGGCCTTGGGTACCCGCGGATGACGCTAACCCGGTAGAACATAAATAAACGAGTTTCGAATCCATGAGAGTTCCTAATAATTTTCACAAGGGAAAATAGTAAGCAATAATATGGCAACAGTACGTTATTTAGGTGCACACTAGACTAGAATCCAATAGAATACATTTGGAGAGACTTAAATATGAAGATACAACATAAAAACGAAAACCGAACTAAACATAGGAATGATGGAAGAATGGAAGAACACTGATGCACATATTACAACAACAGAAAAAAAAAAAAAAAAAAAAAAAACTGGTGAATAATCTTCTGTTACTTTTTTATTCCTGATTCTCCCCCCCCAAAACCCTTACTATGTTCATAAAATAACTCATGTATTTTGCCAAGAGAAATTTATAGGTATTATTAAAAATTATCATTTTCAAATATTAATTTTTATTAATGTATAAAGTAATATTTCATTGAAACATGCAAGCGTACGAGCACTTTTGGAAACCACTGTATTGGAACAATTCTTCCACTTGAAGCCAAACTTTGTTGCTTTTTTCCTTACGTTTTGACAATATTACAAATCGTAGCTTTAGATATCGAAAAATTGTGGTTTTTCACATAGTTTTTTAATAACTAGATGCGAATAATTTTCTTCGACAAAGAGCACAAACATAGCCTTCCATCCAGTGCTTCTTTAAAAGCTCCATTTTGCATGAAAACAAAACTGTGAAGTGGCAGACGATAATTTATACCTTCAAAAATATAGCTGTAATTAAAGAAAACTTTTCATGTAGAAAATTTTATCTTATTGCAAAGCAAAATCGTCGGAAATGTGCGAACAACTTCTGTATCTTATACCCGTATTTTATTATATAACATCTTTAGACAGAAAGAGAGCAAAAGTATTAAAATATGCTGATACGTATTAAAATATTCATTAAGTATTAAAATATAAATGTATGTACGTATTAAAATATTCTACTAAATGTTGTGCATTCTAAAATATTCTGATATATGTTGTAATAGTACTTACAATATTAGTTATTTTGTATATTACAGTTATATTCTGTTATTTCATCATATTAGTTCAAGTGAAATAAATGCGTGTAATTTTATCATAAACGTTGTTTAACTGCGTTACAAGTATGCAACAGAAAACCTTCTTAAGCATAACACATAGTTGAGAAAAAAACGGCAGAAAATAAATTGTTATTTTATATATATAACGAAAATATGATACTGAATTTTGCTTAATTTATAAGACAAACCTAAATTTAACCTACAATTTTATGCAAATTTAATAGAATAATATTATATATAAGTCAAATAAGAATGGGTTTTAATATGGTTATATATAGGGGAAAAGGGATAATTTCCGAAGAAAGCATTTATCAAAACTAGGCAGTGTAATTAAATTATATCGTTTAGCAAAAGCGAAAACGAGTGACTATTTATATAAATTTTGTTTCAGCATGAAAAACGATTTAATAAATGCAATAAGTTCAACTTTTTCAAAATTAAATACATCTAAGGTAATAGTTTCTAGTGCATCGAGAACTCAGTTTTCCATTATTCTATAATACAGACTTTTGTATTCTCATAAATTTTCTGTGGTAAGTTAGCTTTGTTATTTAATACTTAAAATGAATTTTAAATCTAAAACATAAACTACGGACATTTGATTCCATTTTTCCTGGAAATCATCATCTTACAAATCAGGCATCGAGGTGATATGAACATATGATGCGTAATGATAAAATGAGACTTATATAACACTAAAGGCATTTTCCCCTCCTTTCGACACGCCTTCATGGTGTAATTGGAAGCATACTCGACGCTTACTCGAGAGTACCAGGGTTCGAGACTCGATGAGGGCACTGCACATAGTTCACCTTTCCTGCTTCAGAATGAATTCCTGATCACTCTACAGTGGCGAACGAACTAAAAAATGGTGGACGATAATTCGTTACCACCAGGATCTGTTGATTGGGTACTCTCATCCACAGTTGCTCTTTAAAAGAGGGACTATATTTTCAGCCTTCTTTCCGCATGCCTTTGTGGTGTGAACTGAAAGCATACTCGACTTGTGTTCGCGAGGTCCAGGGTTCGAATCTCTGCAAATGCACTGCAGATTTTTAACGTCTACGCTTCAAAAATACCTAATGACTCTACAACACTCTAGTCCTAGTACCGTAAAATAGACATAAGTTGTGCTAATCTTATGGAATTTAGATACAAAAGTACTATAATACATTTATCATATTTTACATAAAATATGTAAATTATTAAAACATTTTACCCAAAGCTGGATTAAAATTAACCAGGAGGAATAGTCATTATAAAGGATGATTCTAAAAGATCTAGCAAAAGGGAAAGGCAAGTAGAGGGACTGAAGTGAGGAAATTTTGTAATGGAGTATTTATACAGAAATGGTGCACGTAAGGAATATTACAATACTATGTGCAGCATGTAAGTAAGAAAGCTCAAAAGATAGAATAATTTTAACTATTAAAATTGTTACAATAGATGTTCGAAAGTATGACTATCAACAGTATTACAAAATCCACTCTCACACAACTCTCGGTTAAATATTGTCGAACATTTAACGATTTGGTCGCTGTTTATTTAAGAATCGTTTTCTTTATAGCTATTGTCTGCTGCTCCGTTTTCTTCATAAGCCACATAGGAAAATGCATATAGGCGAGCTCTGATTTCGTGTAGCCGTGCATAATGCTCGAAATCTGCTTTGGGAATCATGATTCAAGCCGGCAGACAGCTTTCACCTAGAGGATCATTACAGAGTTTTCCACCACCTCAACGCATTATTCACGGATAACATTTCACATTCTGTTTATTTTTAATCTCTATACCAAATCGGCAATCTAAAATGTATTTCTACAGAGTTTTTAATGAATATTTTTACTAGGAAATCTGCTAATCTCGGTTCCCTCTATATTTTTGTCAGATAACTTAGAATCATACTGTATGTGCTATTAGACAATACTTTGCATATGTAAAACATATATCCAATCAAATTTAAAACCCATGATCTCAAAACTATAAGATAGTTAATCTGATGATAATAATGACAGCATTTGCGTAATTTAAAAGAAGATGAATTTTATCCTGATAGACTTCATAACCCCAATAAATGAAATTATATGATTTTTGCTGAAATGTGGATAATTTTGTTGTAGTCAGACTGCAGCAAAAGAGATAAACTGTTTATTACATGAGCCAAATAAAAAAATATAGTTGGCTTTTCTGAATATGAAATCGGTTTTTTGAAAAGAAAATAATAGTCTTAATCATTTGTTAATCCCGATAAAGTTGATATAAATGTAATTCATAGAAAGCTAGTAAAAAAATTGCTAATCCAGTCATGTTAAAATGAACCTTACGAACTAAACCGTACAAACCTACAGCTGTAATATTTCAACTTGCTACAGCTGTAATATTTCAACGTATGGTTTTTATTTAATTCTTGAAAATATCTGTTAGTTTTTATGCCGTCTTAAAGTTTCGATGAGTGCTTTTATTAGTGCGACTCTATGCCCCTGGTTTACCTTAAATAAAATTATTAGTTTTCACAATTTTAATTTATTTTTATTAATTAATTTCTTTTAATAATTTTTATACGGATTTCTGTATCATTTACAGAGATGTACAGTTTTATATTATTCCTTGCTGTGACGTTTCAAAGAAGAAGTTAAATAATAATTTTCATTTGCTCTCAATTAGCTATCATTATGGATATCATTGGCTTCAATGACAATTCTTTCTTGAATTCTAACGAATTAGCTTCTGTCAGCAGTTCTGAACAAACGTGTAGTGATTTTAAATTTAGGAATTAAATTTTTTATTAAAAATTCTTACATAAATAACAAAATTTAGTAGTTCGAAATTTACAGTCAACAATCAAGGTCGATGTTCCAAATAAACTAAATTCCGTGGACGCCAAGAGCTAAAATGTACGTTAAAGATACTGCCAGTCAAAGCAGTCTTGAATTGGAACCTGTGAAAACCACAATATGTCTGTTCTCTTGACCACAGGATAGCAGTGACTAGAATTGTAATGGTTTAACAACAGAAGGTCGAAAGGTAAGGAACAATGAACTCGGAAATGATGTTCCAGATTCGTTTTCGATCTCGAACGAGTTTTCCCATCCTCCGGCGAATGTGGGCAACTTGTTTTTATTTAGTTACATTGCTGTTTTTTAATACATGCTTTGCACGAAGAATCCCTCATTGGCCACTTTACGTTAAGCAGAAAAAGTGGTTTCCTCCTCCTCCCTTCTGTTCTACTTTTAAGGTCAGGATCCTCTTAGAATACTAGTGAGACTGCTTATTAAACATGTTGAATAAAAGCAGTCTGATTTGTGGGTTTGCATTCAGAAGGCAATTAACAGCACACGCTATTCGACCAGCGACTGGGTTACGCACTGATAAACACATCATAGTAGAAAAAATTATTAATACGCCTAATCTAATGCTGTGTAAACATTTTCATAGAGCAAACAGTAATGAAGAGTTACTTTATTTTTTAAACTTCATGAAGCAACGTAATTGAAAATAACCCCGTCTCACCCTTTAAATGAAAAACAAGAGGTTAAAAATGTAAGTACACAAATAAACATTTTTAAAAAGCATTTATTTTGAAAGTGCAAATGTTAGTTCATTTAGTTAGCAAAAATATTTAAATTTTTATTTAGTTGAAATTTTTCAAAATTGTAGATTAGAACAAAAGATAAGCATTATTAGAAAAAAAATGTGTCTTTTCCTTATTAAACGCCTATGACCTCCAAGGAAGTTCTTGAACCAAAAATTATTTTCTTATGATTTAAATACTTCAAAGTCGCTGAAGACCGATAGATCTTAAAATTCCGGCGAACAGGCTGGCTCATTAATGTTTTCGGGGTTTTCATCGTATACGTGGATACGAGCTAGTTACCAACAGAAGGGTCTTAACGGAGGTATCATTTCTCTTAAGCAGGTAGCCCTCATTTGTCACAGGCAGATAGCCCTCATGAACATAACCAAAGAAACGAAACCTACTGACTAATATAGTGTTTACTTGCATATTTCTCCCCCTCACTTATTTTCTCCTCTAGTTTGGTTCAGCATATGATTTAGAAACATCTGATATAAGGTACAAATGTGAAACGTAGACATAAATAGGAAATTATTTCGTTTACGTATAAAGAATATCATTCAATTTATAAGTCTTTTGAAATACATAATAAAATAATATTAGCATGTTTTTATGCGTGCTTTTTAATGCATATGGATAAACCGTCTCTTTA